CCATGGTGAAGCTGCTCCCCGCCCAGGAGGCGGCCAAGATCTACCACACCAACTACGTGCGCAACGCCAGGGCGATCGGCGTGATGTGGGGCACGCTGACCATCTGCTTCTCGGTGCTGGTCATGGCCCTCTTCATCCAGCCCTACTGGATCGGGGACAGCGTCAACACCCCGCTGGCGGGCTACTTCGGCCTCTTCTCCTACTGCGTGGGCAACGTGCTGTCCTCCGAGCTCATCTGCAAGGGCGGCCCTCTGGACTTCTCCTCCATCCCCTCCAGAGCCTTCAAGACTGCCATGTTCTTCGTGGCCTTGGGCATGTTCCTCATCATTGGCTCCATCATCTGCTTCAGCCTGTTCTTCGTCTGCAACACGGCCACGGTCTACAAGATCTGCGCATGGATGCAGCTGGCTGCGGGTGAGCGGGGCTCGTGGGCGGGCGGGCAGGGGCCCACCCCAGGCCACAGGTGCAGCTGCACCATCCCATCCTCTGTGGAGGCTCTGAGTCCCCTACTCGGCTCGCCTCCTTCAGCCCAGCCCTACTCGATGCTCTTAGAAGCTTCTGAGAAGTAGCGGCTTCGCTGAGATGGAGAGAACCTCGGAGACCAGATTGTTCAACCGCCTCATCTTGCAGACGAGGAACTGAGGCCCAGAGCAGGCAAGTGACTTGCCCAGGAGCACAGAGCTAGCTGGTAGGAGAAATCAGGTGTCCTGACTCCCAGGCCATTACACCAGAGACTGCTGCTGCTCTGGGCGGGAGGAAAAAGGAAGCCTCCATTGTCCGCCATGTGGGAATGCACCCCAATGCAAGGCAGATAGTGACACCAGTCAAGCCCGTTCTAGAGGCCCACATCACCCATGTCTGAGTATTTGTTCCGTCTCCTCTAAGGATCCCCAGATCCCTGCCCTCACTCCTTCCCTCCCACCCCAAACTGCTCTCAGGGGAGACTCTAAGGTCAGCCATGGATTTAAAATGTTACGTGCATGTGACCTTTCTCGTAGAGACTTGCATTTAAGTTCTCTCTTTCATTGTGGAGTGGAAGTCTCTGTTCCCTAATGATAGGATTCCATGCTTGAGGTAGTAAGCGGAAGTGACATTGTGTGATGTGGAGGGGTGCTGTGTGGGGGCTTTAAGACTGTGTAGGGCAGGTGGTTACTATTGGTGCTCAGAGGCAAGACCTTCCAAGCCCCCTTTCCCTGCTCCTAGCTCCGGCAGGACTCAGTGGGCCAGCGGGTCCTAATCTCACCCAGAGCACAAGAAAAGATGGCCTAAGACATTGTCCGCAGCCCTTGGCCCCTCCCCACCCCTAGGACTTCACTCAGCCTGTCCGTACTGGGAAGATGTCCAGGACAGCTGGGGACTGTGGACAGAATGAAACTGCTTTGACATGGTTGGCTAGAATGAGCAGTAGTGTTACCCTTAACAGAGGGAATGAAACAGGAGTCAGAATCCCAGACAACTAAACAGACTCAAGCCTGTCAGGGTTGGAGTGGACTCCAGAGAGCTGAGGCCTCTGCCCCCCGATAGATGAGGAGTCGGGCTGAGAGAGATGATAAGACTTGGCCAAGCTGTAGCAGGTCAGCTGGCCACCGAGAGCTTAGGAGAACTAGGACAGAGTCGCACGTTTACGCAGTACGATGATTTGCAGAGTGCCCTCGCGTGTATCATTCGAGGACCCTCATCATGACGCAGTGAGGAGGGTATTCCTTCCGTTTTACAGACAAGGCTCCGGCGGGTAACTTGCCTTTGAGCACACACAGGTGGTGAGGGACAGAGCCTTTGGCTTCAGATCTTGTACCCAGGCCTTTCAGCAAGCTTCAGAGCTGCCTCCCACCCTGCGCCTCCCCCACCTCACCTCCC